ATATGTATATATCTAGTATATGTATTTAGCTGGGTAAAAGTCCAAGTTCTGCGTTCTACTTGCACACCTCGATACACATAACATTTATCTCCCAGCTTCTATATATAAACCGCTCCACAAACTATCTTTATACGTAATTGCTCTTCTGGCAACCACCTGCCTAGCAACCATTCGCCATGTATACTCCAGCCTATCTCACATCACATTGGCGAACACTATAATCAGAGGATCGATACATAACAGGTCGAGACTATTGCCTTGAAATTTGTTAACGCCAGCGTATTTTGTCTATTTTCTCACCTATTTAGCTGGTACCATTTCGCACCCAGATAGTTTTGATATCAACGCCATTTCTGGACTGTGTCTAACCTCAACATTATTGTTATGAGTTTTCTCGCCTAATTATGTCCTCATATACCTTTCCCACAACCTGCACCACAATGGCGCGCTCAGTACATACCTACGTGCTCACGTAGGCCAAATATCTAGTGACAATCGATTAAAATAGGATACCTATTCTGAAGAAGAGACAATTACTAATGTACCTATTTTAGGAAATGATACCTATTTTTTTTAAGAGCAAGAAGTGGTCCCAATTGTTTTAGAATAGGTATGTACCGCTTCCTTCTTTATAGATACCATTTCTCAAAAAATAGAGGTAACTCTTCCTAAATATTTAGGGACCAATTTAAAAAATAAATAGAGGTAACTCTTCCTAAATATTTAGGGACCAATTTAAAAAATAAATAGAGCTAACTCTTCCTAAACAGGTCGCATTTCTTGAAAACTAAAACAGGTACGTACCATTTCATGACATAGACTGGCGAGATTGTATCGTTGCCCACGATCGACACGGCAGATATCTGGACCTCAATGTGAGATGTAGAGGCACACGCCATTCAACGATACCGTGAAATGGTAAATACAACCGAGACACTGCTTGAGACGCGACTATACTTGATTGACGTTTTAGCTTTTTTTTATTAAAAAAAAAAGCTAGCACAATCTGGTATACTCGCTCATTTGTCAGTACAGGGTACTTCACTACAGGCAGCGTTGTACTTGTCGTTCAGCTGCAGCCCGTAAACCACCATGGGCTGACCACAGCGCAGCTCACTTCTACTAAGCCAAGTACCACAGGGCAGCTCACTACTACTAAACCAAGTCAGTTTAACACATCCATGGTGTGTGCAATACACACTCGTGGATATGCGCTGTATGGATCCGTATGTCTTAGCTAACAATGCACTTCGTGAAGTATTCGTTATGCGACTTGTATCAGTGGTCTCGTGATTTGACGTATACTGAACCGTGCCGTACTTGTTTTGTTGTACGTTGCTGACCAGTCGACTCGTACCAGATTGGGGTTGTCGTATCCAATCGTAACGCAGATGTTATTCAACCCTGGTCTTGTACCTGCTTGGGTTAGCCGTAACCTTTACCGTGAGGTAGCTAACCATATGACTCGTATCGGATTGTATTTGTCGTATATTAAATCGTGAAGTAGTTGTTATACGACCCTGACCAGTCGTCGCGTACCGGCTTGGACTTGTCGTATGTGTGCAACCCATCGACTATGAACTTGTACTCGTACTCTCCACAGCGTAGGTCTATCACCGCGTAGTGCTGGTCAAAATCCCACACGAGTGGAATGGGTCGCCGCCACTGGTCCCATGAACCGATCACTTCCACCTCTGAGTAGGTAAGGTAGTGTAGGTATGGTACAGGAGTTGAGGAGTGATGCCAACGTTATGTTAGCTGTTTATTAACTTGCGTACGGTGATTGGAGAGTATATCATTTGAGAAGTGATTGCAGTGCGTATCAATTGAGAAGCGCTTGCACAGTTAGTCAACCGGGCAGTTATTGTAAAGAGTGTCTGTGAGTGATTCGACAAAAAGATATACGGATTATCAAGGCTGGCTTCTGTCACCGTGAGTGGTACTTGTCCAGTATGGAATCCGGAGACACACACAGAGCGACCCTTTCTGCGGCCTCGTCTCACTGCCTGGGAACAATCCCGCGAGAAACCATAGTACGAACTAAAAATAAACCAACACTAATATAGAATCAACATGCTCTTAGCTAGAGTAGAAATCAAGTTCAAGCACTCGAGGTGTACAGGGACACTAACAATAAAGTACAAATATAAAAGAATACATACACACGGGTCTGAAGCAGGCAATAGGCGCATGGACAAACAAAGCGAAGCACACTCACAACGACCCAGATCCGTAGAATACATATCACGAGACAAGCAAAGTACAACACATACGTGCGTATCGACTACCGGACCAGGCTATGAAGACGTTCCGCCGACCTTCTTCAGAATAAATCACTTGCTGCTAGTGTGATGAAGTGGAGAACAAAAGACGAGAAGAAGTAAGGATGGGGTATTGAGTCTCAAAATGGTGTACTGCACCTACGAGTGTGGATATAGCTATATGTATCATTGAATATAGGAATATAAGGTATAATGCATAAATGTATGGATATCTTCATGTATAATCAATATAGGTGAAGCGATTTGATATCTATCTCAGAAACATTTACTCACGGGCATATGTATATTTGTATGTTTGTATATATATA